TTGGTTTGCCCGCATCCCTTCTGGAAATTTCGACCTGAAAAATGAACCCCGTGATCGTCCGAAAACTTTGATCGTCAATGACAAATTAAAGGCGATTGTGGAAACGGACGATACTCAATCTACGACTCAATAAGCAGCAGCTTTCGAGGTAAGCATTAAAACAATATTGATTCATTTGCGTCAAATTGGCAAAGTAAAAAATCTTGACAAATGGGTCTGGTACGAACTCAATGATCACCAGCGCGAAATACGCGTCGAGACGTGCCTTGCACTGCTTAACAGGCACAAATACCCCTAGTAAAGTGATGGTTACTGTTTAGTAGTCATTAATAGAATCAGTCGTTACTTTACGGAAGTCCATTATATTAAAGTTGGCAAAAAATTACTTCGCGTACATCCGCTCGATAAAATAAAATGTGTCTTACCTAGTTTGAAGCGCACTTCCCGCCCTCCCTCAATTGCGTGCACTATCGCCGTCACTACTAATCCCATTTTTTGCCAACTTTAAATGTTTAGTGGTCTAGCGCCGGTGTTTCTTCACAGCTTTTTACCAAACGGAATGGGCATTAACGCAAATGTGTACTGTGAAGATCTGAACACAATGATGGTGAAGCTCTCACGTCTCCAACCAGCTTTGGTCAATCGCTTTTCCCCGCTGCTTCTGCACTACAACTCACGACCTCATACTGCACTACAGACGGTGACCAAATTACAAGATCTGGGGTTAGAAACGCTCCGTCATCCGTCGTATTCAACAGCCAGACTCAGTAGCCAACAGCAGAAAATAGAAGTTATTAATTTGGATAAGTTTTTGGCGGGAAAAAATTCAATACTTGAAAAGCAGTACAAAATGCCTTTGAAGAATTTTTTGCCTCCCGTTCAGCTGATTTCTTCATGAAGAGCATCAAGAAACTGCCACTGCGTTAGCAAAGATGCATCGATTGCATGGGTAATTACTTTGATTAATAGAAAAAAGATAAAAAAAATTACGTTAACTTATTTAATAAAAAACGGCAATTTCATAGGTAAAAACCGAATAAAAAAAAACATACTTTTTTAAATATAATTATTATTTTTGAAGTTTATATTTTTGGAAAAGACTAGATAAAGCAATATGTATGGGCAAGGCGGCTGGTTGAAACTGGATGCGTGAAGCCGATAATTGGACTGATTCGCTCGCTTTGGGAGAGGCCTCGGTTCAGTTTTACGTTACTCGTACATATTCTGGACGTATGGCATAAATGTGATCTTTCGGAGACCTCAGATTTTTCTGACGTTTCACGTAATCGCCTCTTTCCACACCCACAGAGTAAAAAAGCGGGGGATTCGCTTAAGACGCGACCACACAGGATGAAAAAAAGCAATTATTTTAAAATTACACTATAGGTGAAAGTTTATAGTGCAAGGCTTAATTTCAAATACATATCCAGAAGTTTCTTTTTTTCTAATTAGAATTATACAAACAACCGTTTGAGCTACAGTGCCAGTCCGCATAACCTTTGTAGTTAGCAGAGTCAACAGTCCTGTATAAATACTCGTAATTCTTAAATTAATGTCTCGTTTGCTTTTTAAGGTTTATTTTTTAAACAACCGTAGGAAGTGTAAAAAACTATGTTGGTGGTGCTGTAAAATATGAAGTGTATTTAACTTTTAAAGGCAAAACATTCTAAGGCGATATAATGACGCCCACGCTAGACAGTTATACATACTGTTAGATTCAAACGCAATTTAATGCTGATCCCATGGCGTCGAATATTAGGGGATATTATTTATGTATTGTTCATAGGCGGCGGTGTCACTTACCATCAGGTGAGCCGCATGCTCGTTTGCTCCCTCTTCTATAAAACAAAATGCTGAAAACAGGCCTCCGCCAAACATTGCTTTAAAGGTGGGATGTGCAGGGAGGCGGTCATCGCCTCTGCAAACTGGTTCCGGTGTGGTGGCGACAGATAGTACCACCTACCACATGACTCTCTAGGCGCTTCCTGTTGGCGATGCGCTTAAAAAATAGTTTGTCATTTTTTCATTTTATAAAAAATAAATAAATTTGTATTTTCAATTATTGCTATTAAATTATATAAGGCATTCCGAATAATAGATTCAATATAATTATCAAACGAAAGTTTAGAGTTCGATATCTCGGTCGAGAGTTAATTCCACAAAAGTTTGTTTATGGATTAATTTAGAGTCATGTGTTTCATAGTAAATAGTAAAGGATACGGTATCAACATCAATGGCGAGTACATCACTCACCTTCGATTTGCCGACGATATAGTCCTTATGACAGAATCGCTGGAGGACCTAAGCACTATGCTCAATGACCTCAATAGTGTTTCCCAACGGATAGGTCTTAAGATGAACATGTACAAAACAAAGATCATGTTTAATGTCCATGTCACACCTATGCCGGTAGTTGTTGGGAGCACTAAGCTCGAAGTTGTTGACGAGTATGTTTACCTGGGACAAATAGTCCGACTAGGTAAGTCCAACTTCGACCGAGAGGTCAATCGACCGATTCAACTCGGCTGGGCAGCGTTCGGGAAGCTACGACACATCTTCTCGTCAAACATACCTCAAAACCTTAAAACGAAACTGTACAACCAGTGCGTGTTGCCAGTGATGACTTACGGAACTGAGACGTGGTCCTTCACTGCTGTCCGTATGAGGAAGCTCAAGGTCGCTCAGCGAGCTATGGAGAGGGCTATGCTCGGAGTTTCTCTGCGTGATAAACTTAGGAATGAGGATATCCGCAGTAGAACCAGAGTAACCGACATAGCCCAATGGATTAGTAAGCTGAAGTGGCAGTGGGCCGGCCATATAGCTTGAAGAACCGACAACCGATGGGGAAGAAAGGTTCTCGAGTGGCAGTCTCGTACGGGTAGGCGAAGTGTAGGGCGTCCCCCCACGAGATGGAGTGACGACCTGGTAAGATATGCAGGAAGTCGATGGATGCAGGTGGCTCAGGACCATGCTTTGTGGCATTCTTTGGGGGAGGCCTATTTTCAGAAGTGGACTTGTGAAGGGCTGTAATGATGATGATGATGATGATGTTTCATAGTAATCGGTTATGCAATACGATTAATAGTTTTGTATTAAATTAGAATACTTATTTTAGATAAAAACATACTTTATTCTTGTGATAAGAGACAAGGTACATAATGGCTACATAAGAATGGCATATGTAAACAGATAACGTTTCATAATGTACAGAGAGAGAGAGAGATTTCTTTTTTCTTTAAAAAAAAAACGTTAAACCCACACTAAGAGTTTCTCCTGTGTCATGGAGGCAGTTTAGAAACATAAATTGCACAAGAACAAACATCCAGACCCGGATCAATTATTTGTAGGCCATACAAATACTTGTTCCGTGCGGGATTCGAACCCGCGGCCACCAGCGTAACAACTGATTGCTAAGCCACTGCGTCACGGACCCGAGCGGCGTGCTGCGACTCTTTCAGTTCTTAAAATCTACTTTTAAAATACTTTCAAGTCCAGGATCGATTCTCTTTGGCCGACTTCAAACTTCGAAGAGGAAGAATCATGTTTAGTAGTTAATTTTCTAGTTTAATGATGTCAGTGTCGATGGTATGATAAATAAACAACTTTTTTATTTTATCATTTTTATTTGTACTTGATCACAAAGCGTCGATTAAAACGAAATCTTAATACTATTATACACAAATTTTATCACATCATATAACCACGACACTGGTGCTACACTAAACCAAAAACATCACAAAACGTTTGCGTCATGGCTTCATGGTACTTAACAACTGCGCGTTATATTGAAAAAAAAAAAGCCAATACGCGTTTCTTAATGCTCGCTAATGCAGCCATGATATAGGGTAATATAACGCACAAGTGTTTATAATTTTGCTTTAATACATTTTTATTAAAGATTTTCTCTTAAGATTAAGATTTCAGAATTCTCATTAATGTTAACAATCAGCCTGTATTATTGCTTCAGTTCGTGATTTCGAACTTCGCTTGCCCTGGATTTTTTTTTATCCCTCAGACATGCAGGTTTTTCGCTATTATTTATCGTCGGGCACCTGATAAAATAGCACTTAAAAGTGCAATTTACAATTTTATTGTGACAGCGATGACAGATTTTTTTAATGCTGAACAAAATTAGTCCAACCAGTTTCTTCGATATAAAGCGTTTTGGTTCAATAATCCACAGGTTTCACTATTATAAATTGTTTCGCTTACGAGACAACTTGTGTACGTACGGCCAAGGACACGTTTTCAGCATTATCGAGTACTTATAACGATTAAATATGCAGCAAACATATAGTAAAACAGAATATGTAACAAACATCACGCACTGACTACGATTAGGCTAATTTATAAATTATATTTACCTATCTATTAGTATTAAATAAGCCTATATCGTCCAACCGATGGGCAAGAGACTCCCTTGCCTCCCTCCAAAATGCTTTTACATATAGCTGGAGTTTCTCATTTTTTCTCGTATGAGTCAAGCTCGCCTCTCAGTGAAAATAGACCACGCAACAGTTTCACGCCTTATGGGACCTATTTACTATCGCAACCTTGGCTCGCATCTCGTCTAACATACGGCAGTCATGTCAGGCCCAATAGATAAGTAATTTAAATTAACTTTTGAAGTTATACTTCTTTTGGGGCGTTTGGATAAATTATGAGAGTAATTTTTTTACACCGATACCGATAGCTATAAACGACACAATAAAGTTGTTACGATGCGCGCGCACACTGACACCTCAAAGTGACAACTTCATTGGGTAACTGTCTCTCAAATTTTCGTGGGAACTGATAATTATGTTTAAGGTAGTTTTTGTTTTATTACGTTAAAGAAGTATAACTTCCTTCCTGCGTACATAAGTACACACACACGTTTTTATTTTCCTTTTATTGCGTAATTTGCAAAATAACATTCACCACATGGAGCCCAAAATATTATATAATACTTTATTTAAGTTACTTGTAAATGTAATTTTAAATTATTATATCACTTTTAATTAGTTAAATTCGTATGGTTGATACTTGTTTGATTTGTAAATCTTTGCATTAGCTTGCATATTGTATTTCTTTCCAAGTTTTCTGAGCCATTCCCTTTTCGCATCCTCCACAATATTTGGGTCTTGTGTGGTTGAAGTTTTTGCTCTTGCTATGTTTCGTAAATAAGATTCATAGAGACCCATACCAGGCATGATTGAGTTGTGTTCCGCCACCTTTGCTCGAGCCAGTTCATTATTGTATTTATTTTCAAGTTGTCTAAGCCATTGCCTTTTCACATTTTCCACAACATTTGGGTCTTGTGTGGTTGAAGTTTTTGCTCTTGCTATGTTATGTAAATATGACTCATAGAGACTCATACCAGGCAAGACTGAGTTGTCTTCCGCCGGTTCTAAAGGTACGCTTATGGGGTCGAACGGTATTGATAATATTTGTCTCCTTTGGTCAAAATATACGTTTTTATATTGCGGAGTATTTTCTGTAAGGTTAACGACAGGAGATGCTGTTGGTGGTGTGGAGAAAGTTGGACTGTTTGCGGTCGGCCTATTATCTTCGTCCCAAATTACTGAATCTAGCCATCTAGCGAAACTTGACACTTTGAGGAACGCGTGCGTCCGACTGTAGACAGCGCATCTATGGAGAAACGTCGCTATTCCTATGAGCGTGTTATTTTGTATGATCGCACCACCGTCGTCTCTCTAGAAACAATGCATTTTTTGTAATTTTATTTGATTTTTTATAATTCATTAATATCTATGACAAATAATAATTTTATATTTGTAAACGACTTATTCGAAATTCTTCAATCTTGATTCTGCTAGAATTTCTTGAAATAAAATTTGATATTATTTGGTTGACTAGGAGAGAATACCTGAAGGCATTAAGTGCACCATATGTGCGATTTTATTTTTTGTGCTATATACCTATATAAACTATTATAGTTTAAATAAATAAATAATAATAACTGTAAATAAAAAAAACTGACGTGGTAGAGCCATGCTGGAGCTATATTAATTGTATAGTAGTAGCACGAATGGGTCGGCTCGACCGGGGAAGGATCACGCTCTCACAGAATACCAGCGTAAAATAGCAGCTAAACACTGCTGTTTCGTATGGTGAGTGTAGAGAACCGGAGACCCTTTTTACTGGAAAAGAGGCATTCCATCTTAGTCCTCACGGCTGAAAACGCATCTGCATTTTGATTCGCATACGAGGACAGATGTAGATGTCTATGGGCCACAGCAACCACTTACCATCAGGTGGACTGTGTACTCGGTTGTCACCCTTATCCTATAAAAAAACTACTATTTTTATATAAATATCATTAATTTCATTACAGCCTATCAAAATCCTATTGTTGAACATAAGCCCTTAGATTACTTCCCTCCCTTAGAGCTCTCGTTGCCATTTTGTCATAAATATCACGCTTAGCAGTAAGCGACGAGCGTTGGTGCATTCCGCAAGTAAAAGGAACGTAAGCATTATGACGTCTTCCGTACAATTTAATGTATTACAACTTTTTAAATTAGAGTGACAAACGAGCATATAGTCCACTTGGAGGTAAGCAGTTCTATTAATTATAAAAGGAAGTCATTATTTATTAATATTTAGCAATTTACCTGAACATGAAACAGACATATGATATGATTACATATATGTATATGATGGTAACGCATCTGCAATTTCCCTGGTGTTGCAGTTGTTCATGGGCGGCGGCCGTTACTTACCACCAAGTGAGCCGCATGCACGTTTGCCCCTCTCATATAAAACAATATAATTCACAGGAAAGGAAAAGTGTTAAATAAAATATAACTATATTAAAATAAATAGTTTGTACTTGCGATAAATGGCTAGTTGTGCCTTAGTTCAATTCCATTGCTTTTTATTTTTTTTTTTATTATATATGTTAAGCAAAATTATTTATCTACACACTAAGGGACTTTAAAAGGCGAAACCGCTCATGTTATAAATTTAATAAAAAGAGTTTTGAATGGACCTGTGTCTCGCATTTACCAACAAAAAGGTTCTAAATTTGACATCGTCATTCTAATTTCTACTCACTCTGCAAAAGTGTCTGTTCGGATCTTGGACTCCACCAGCACATATGTAATGACCCGGTAATATCTCGGTCGTAGGTTCACATATAGATGCATCTAATATTGGCACGTTTACGACCCGTAAATGCTGAAAAATGAAGATAAAAGAATTTCCTAAAAATGCTAAATTACTAAATAACAAAAATTTATAAATTTCGCGTTGTTTCTTTTGAAAATATAAGCTCATAATTATAAAGGGGAAAATATTTTTACGCATAATTTATAATGTACCCTACATTTCCTATTAGTTATACATATATTACTGAGCCACCTGCATTCATCGACTTCCTACATGTGTTACTAGGTCGTAACTTCATATAGTGGGGTAACGCCCTACACATTACCTACCGGTACGAGGAGCAGCTTGAGAACCTTTCTTCTCTATCGGTTGACGGTTCTTCGAGCTATAAGGCCGGCCCATTGCCACTTTAGCTTACTAATCCGTGGCTTACGACCGTACTTTGTGGCATTGGGAAAGGTCTATGTTCGGTAGTGGATATGTGAAGGGTTATAATGATGCTAATGAATGATGATGATATATTACTATCCTTTACAAAATAAAAAATATACATAATTAGTATATCAGTGGGAGTCCAAGCTAGAAATGACGCTAAATAAACAACTAAATGACGGACGAAACTCCGGTGAAATGCTGAACCCAAATTCTACCCACCAGATCACGTGGCAAGCGTAGTCAGTAACATCTTTCAAAGAATGGATGACTGGTCCATTCTTGAAAAGACTTATATCCGTAGTGGACTTTAAAAAGCTGACAAAGAAATGCAAATCACTATTCGTCAATCTATATAAATCCATCCGTATACTTGTAACACTTGACGTCCTGCGCAATTGGAAACTTCAAACAACATTTCAAATAATGGCCACGATTAAATATTAACTAAAGAATATCCAATCTTTAAACTTTCTTTGAATATTTTTACTAACAAATTCCATAACAGCCTATAAAACTCCACTGCTGATCATAGACCACTTCCATACATTGCCTCATAGGCAGGATTTTGCCATAGTTGCCACGCTTGACAGGCGCTTTGGTAACAGCAGTTTTTTTTAATATTTTGAGTTATTTATTGTCAGAAAGATGCTGCTATCAACCTTCCCAATTTGTTTCCCTCTGTCGCCTCTTACGACACCTACGGGACGATATGGGGTAGTGGAGACACTAATAAACAATTCGCTATAAACTTTACGTAAGCAACATCATATACAAAGTCGATTCTATAATTCTCCTTTATTTAAGTAAATGTATATGTCACAGTCAAAAATCAGGCAAAAATTTTGCCTGATTTTTTTGCAGTCTAAAGTGGGTTTGACCGGTGATGAGTTATGACTGTAACATATATATAAAAATTTAAAGTGAACTTGCATTTCATCTTAGTTCTGAGGTGTCATCCCTCAGAACTAAGATGAAATGCAAGTTGAAACGCATCTGTATTTTGATACTTAATCGAGGATACGCGTAGATAGATGTTCGCCGTATAGTGGCGATAAGATAATCTATTACTCCAAATCATTGCGTGAGTGACGTAAGAGGCGACAATATAATTCTGATATAGGGCAGCAGTATCTTCGTGATAATAACTTTATATTAAAAGACTGCGCATGCCAACCAGTCTACCAAGAGTAGCATTTTTTTTTTACTTATTATAAGCACTGGCTTGACCACAAAGCACTGGTGGTAAGTGGTGATGCAGCTTTAGATGGTAAATCGCACTGTCTTAGCGTAACAAAAGCCAATTCACTCGTGCCTTAAAGATGACCATAACTATCAATAATATCTATATTATGAGGCAATCCATGTTCATCAATGGACGGAATGGATAAGATGTAACAATGAGAAATATATAGGTAGGTGTCTAAGAGCTAGTGTATCCGCTTATTGTCACTTCTATAGATTATGTGCCCGACACCCTTCCCTTTATAAAATAAAAAATATAAATAAAAAATACCCCAGTGGGAGTCCATGCTAGAATTGACGCTAAATAACCCAAACTGACTTCGTCGTCCGGGTTTGGTAAATTCACGGATCGAATACGGGCACTGAATTCCATACGTGCTTCCAATTTCACAGCCGAAACTTTCAAGTCGAAATTATTTATCAGCAGTTTAATCTGTGAACAGAAATTACTATTATAAATAAATATCATATATTTAATGAATAATATTATAAATTGTTCTTATTTATAAAGTATTTAAACAAAAAAATTTGAAATACCTTATAAATTGAGCCACTTTTGTTGTTATATGAGCTGCCAACCCTTAGCGTGTAGTTCTTAAGATTTTTATGAGTTACGTATGACGATATAATATGTCTGAAATATTTTAAATAATAGGTGTTAGTTTAGTTAAACTAAGGGCAATGCCAGAGATTTTCTGAACAAATCAAATCGAAATGGAATGAAAAAAAAACCAAGCGAAATTTATGAAGTGAAAAGAAAATCAAATTTCCTGTGTTAAATATCAGTTTTTTCTTTCAAATCTACTACCGTTTCGAAATGAAGTTCCTCAAATTGGAGTGAAAAAGTAAAAGAAATTCTGCACGTATTTTTTTATTGATTTTGAGGTTATTATTATAATAGGATAGTACTTCAATATAGAGTAATCGTCATAGATCAACGACTCAACGGTAAGTTGTATATAGTGACCAAACATTTTCCAAATAGACATATAAGCTTTGGCCTAAGGCCTAAGTTTGGGGGCGAATACGCCACAGTGGCGCATTTTATTCTTATTAAAATGGACAAAAAAGGGTTTTCAATAACTAATACAAATATTATGCACAAATATTTTTAAAATACTTAAAGGCATTATTGTGAGCCGAACAGTGATGGTCACAGTTTGAAAAAAAAATAAAAAAACGTTAACTTGTAAGGTGGATCCCATCTAGTACTATGTCACTTAATTACAATATATTGTGTGTGTATGTGCTTGTGTGTGTTTGTGTGTGTGGATTCAGCATAAATTTAGAGCCGCCTTAGAACATTACACGCTAGGTTTAGGATACGTCCATTTAGCAAAAGAAGAACGTTTTTAGCAGAACCATGCTATAAAATAATATGACAATTTTTTTAGCATTATTGATATTGTATGACTGTTTATTAACTTTTGAATACGTACGAATCAAAGCATTTGGATGGTGTAAGTAACCAGTAAGTATTCAGCACAACAGCACTGCAGACGTACGAATCGTTTTTTAGCAACGACGCGGCATACGGATGGTTATATATCTGCCTAACTAACGGACCAATGTGCTCTGCGCTGTCGTCGATATCGTGATCCGCTGAAAAATATAAGTGATTAAATACATTCCTTTTTAAATTAAATACATAACTTTAAAATTTCGTAACTTACTACTGATATTCGTTTGCGTAATAATGTTTGTAGCATTTGCGTTCACGCTGTCAATTTCGCCATCACCTTTAAGAAAAATAGCTATATATAACTCCATTAATTAGAAATATTGTATACAAAATAACAATCTTTGCAATGTTAATTCAAAAAAAAATTTATTATTAAAAATTTAATAAAATATATATATACTAAGTGATTTCTTACATTTACGCGAATACTACACATTGAATGAAACTAGTTTTTAATGATTTTATCACGTTGTTATTATTAATTAAATAATAGCTAAACGTGATATCTATGAAAATCCCCGCTTGCATATTAGCATTTGTTAGAATAAGGTTTGATTTGCAGCCTAATGTTTAAAAGTACGGTATACGAAACTTAAAGGTCAATGGTTTGCATCTGTCATTCAACTACTGTCGTGAAGCACTCCTAACTCCTAGCATAAGCATTTTAAGTTTGAATGGAATAGTTAACGGGAATGTAGAGTTCTTAGTTACACTGTTAGCAATCTTCTTTTTGAAGAAAAAAGAGATCATTGAGGTAAAGGAGTAAGAGGACTCATCACCAATGCGTTACTTTGAGAAATTTTCCAAAGATCTCATGACTTCTCACACATTTGAGTATAATCTTTACGTGGTAGAGCCACATTGCAGCTATATTATGGTTGTAGCATGAATGGGTCGGCTCGACCGTGGAAGGATCACGCTCTCACAGAATACCGGCGTAAAAAACCAGTGTAAAAAGTGGTTTAATGCTGTTATGTTTCGTGTAGTGAGTGTAGAGAATCGGGGACATTTTCTACAGGAACCGAGGCATTCCATCTTAATTATCAGGAGTGACAAATTTATTTTCAACTTTCATTCTTAATAGAGATTAGATGTAGATTTCTATGGGCCACAACATCCGTTTACCGTCACGTGTACTATGTGGTCGAATGTCACTCTTATTCCATAAAAAAATTCCATTTACGCCAGAGGTAAAATACCATCACCAGCGATAGGGTGCAACGGCGATGGTGCGAGACGACTGATACTGCGATCGCCAACCACCTGCAAAGTGTGGCGATTAACGTAAATCCTCCGTGCGATGGTAGAGTGCAGCTGTACACTTTCGTGGCTCGATAAAGAAGAAGTTCCTCACAAAACACCTCCATTATTTTAAAGTCCTCCAGACCGGATTTCGATCACGGTGGCCATTCTCAACGGAGGACTAGCCATCTGTGTAGGATAGGATTATAGTACACAAATGTGTAAACACAGGTGCTTTTCTATTCCCCCACTATCATAGTCCGATTGGACGGCAAACCGACACGACAGGCAAGAGATCAGGCGCAAGACCAACGGCCTTACCTGCTTTCCGCCGAGACACGGGGGTAAAACACAGTAAAACTCCTGTTACTGAGAATTTCTTGACAAAACCCTAATAACGGTTTGACGGCTCCGTGGCGCAGTAGCTTAGCAATGAGTTGCTACGCTGGGAGCCGCGGGTTCGAATCACGCACGGAACAAGTATTTGTATGGCCTACAAATAATTGTTCTGGGTCTGGATGTTTGTGCTTGTGTGATTTGTGTTTGTAAACTGCCTCCACGATACAGGAGAAAATCTTAGTGTGGAGGTAACGTATTTTTTTTAAATAAAAAATTTTTGGTCTTAGCCGGTATTCAAACCCACGAATACATAATCAACTGTCGCGTTTTCGTCCATTAAAGCAACAAGGTATTCTGCCTGTAACTATTATTTAATACATGAACGTTTATAAAGATATCATCATAATAATAATGATGATTACTTATATATGACGCGTATGAACAAGTATATACGTCGACAAAATAAAACATCTAATAAATCATGTTAGTGTTCCAATAATACAGAAATAATTATTTAACTTCCATTCTTTAGCGAATAATCGTAACATGGTTTAACTATCTCACCTGATTCCCTCGTGTTTTCCTCGCTCTCCAACTTACCCTGAGCCATAGCACAGGTATAAGCTAACACGATAGTATAAACTAGAATACCGCCGATGTTGCTCCACATCTTAGCACTAAATTGTACTATATTGCTCTGGAAAACGATCGTGTGCATTCTCTGATTGTTCCGTACCATAGAGCTACGAAGCTGACAGAACAAACTCTGTTCTTAAAAATATTTTTGATTTCATTTAATTAGGTTTATTAAATCATTGAAATATTAATAAATCCAGATTATATTAAATTGTTTATTATATTATTGGATTGTATTAGCAACCACCTCTCTCTCACTTCAATCTCGTAACTCCCGTCACCATGAATATTTTATAACCGAGCAATTTCGATGTGGTAAAACAATCTTCTACACGGTATTGAAAATTATTAAGAAAAGTAATATTACCAAGTACTATGTAGATACTGTAGATATGTAGGCTATATATTATATATTTTACGTAGTTGAGCCGTGCTACGGCCATTTTATAGTATAAGTATAGCACTAATTTGTCGACTTAAGCGGGGAAGAACCACGCCCTCGCGGAATACCAATAATAATGCTTAATATAATATAAATCTTAATGTAAAATAATAATTTTACTTTAATTTATATTCTCGATATTTTCTCATTCAGATCTAAATTTACTTATATCTTGAATGCTCTAACAAGCTCAGGATGTTTTGCTGTACAACGGTCTGTTTGTATCAACAACGATAGCGATATAGAGAGTAGAGGAAAATATCACTTTAAAAGACCAAAAGAAAATTTATTAGATGACTTTCTAATAATTAATTTTAAATTTAATACTTTTGAATTATTGCTTATATACTATTATTAATTTAATTTTGAAATCGGCTTTTACTTATTATCAAAACCTAATTTTTTTTTATCTGTGGTAGCCCTCGTAGCAATCCGGGTTCGATACCCGCCGACACCAATGAAGTTGTTAATTACAATTTTAAGTGCTGATTTACCACGTGTTTGGCGGTGAAGGAAAACATCATGAGGAAATGTCTGAAAAATAAGAAAAAAACATATTTCGAAGATATGTGAAATCCACCAACATTGGGGCAGCGCGGTGGACATTTCCTTGTCCTAAACCCTCTCAAAAATTTGAGGAGGCCTGTGCCCAGCAGTGGAACGTATATAGGCTATAACTTTAACAAATATTTCCAAAGTTTTTGTCAGAGAAATAACTCTTTCAATGCTGAATATAGAGGCAAAATTAAGTTAGTAATAAAGCGCACTTCCCTGAGAGACAATACAGAGTTTTTTCCAAGTTTTATTAAATATCTTTTTTCTTAATCAGCCCTTGAAAGTCCGCCGCTAAAGAAAGGCCTTTCCCGTTACATAAAGGACACTTTCCTTAAATTAAACATATTTATTCGCACAGTTTTTTATATAAGATGTATTCAACGAATTTAGTTGCGATTTGCAATTATAAAAATTGATACCTCTTGGGCAATTTTAAAATTATAAGTTACTGTACTGTGTATTCCACGAGTTGGCGAAAGGTATGAACATAACATGTCAAATGAATTTACTACATTATTATATATAATTTCATTACATTACATTTAATAAATCATTAATAACTCATCACAATGTTTATATTTGAAATATTCATATTTTTTTTATATCATAATTGTTTTATACAAAGAAGTACAAGTATAATAGCTCGTAGACACCCATATTGCATGCCTTAAGCGCAAAGCGCGTAGGTATGTTCTACTAGCGCCTAAAATTCAAACGTTTTGTCGCATAAAATCGTATCTAACAATCATATTGAACATATGAATGATACAAAAAGCACATTGTCAGAAAGATAAATGATTGTTGAACTTATAAATTTTTTTTAAATCGATTAATTGCTATTTTTACATAAAAAGTGGTTTTAGTGGCTTTTGGTTTGACAGCAGCCTTGCATTAATTTATTTTACTAAATAGACTGCCTCACTCACTTCGGCGTTAACCGCCGTCATGAGTGGATACTGTATCGGTTGCTTGCAGCGGCTCAAGAAGATCGCTATACAAATACAAAATATTCAAAAAACTATATCTCATACATATACTTGATTATTATAATAATCAGAGATTTTTATTACAATATTTTAAAAGCACAGAATAAATAATAGTAGTACATACTAAAAGTAAGTAGGATGTATATATTTATACTTAAATACGTCTTGGACTTTATGGAGTGACCTAAATGATTATATGATGATCATATGAGCATTATGAGTCGTGCATTTTTGGATTTTCCAAACTTTTTTTAAATTGAAGTTTGACATAAAATTATCGGAAAATTGGATTAGTGAAAACTTGTGTGTATTTAAACTACTTTAAAAAATTCGTATAAATCATGTTATACGTAAGTTTTAATGCGTTTAAGGCATGCAGAATTGGTTTTACCAATAGTTTTGTTCTTTATAATTAGGAATCAAAATACCTATATTCTTCTAGGGACTTACCTAGTCGGACTATTTGTCCCAGGTAAACATATTTGTCAACAACTTCGAGCTTAATGCTTCCAACAACTAACGGCGTAAGTGTGACATGGACGTTACATATGATCTTTGTTTTGTACATGTTTATCTTAAGACCTATTCGTTTGGAGACACTATTGAGGTCATTTAGCATAGTGCTTAGGTCCTCCAGCGATTCAACCATAAGGACCATATCGTCAGCAAAGCGAAGGTGATTAATGTACTCGCCATTGATGTTAATACCGTATCCTTTCCAGTCCAGTAGCTTGAAAACGTCTTCCATTGCAGCCGTGAAGAGTTTCGGGGATATAACGTTAGCCTGTCTTACACTTCTCTTTAGTTGGATAGGTTTCGTACTCTGGTTGTGTACTTGGATAGCCATCGTAGCCCTACTGTTACAGCACTTCAGCACTTCGATATAGAGACGGACAACTTGGTACCGCTGAAGGGACTGTAGTACGGCTAAAATTAGACGGAATCAAAGGCTTTCTCATAGCCACATACGCAAAACATAGTGTTAGATTGTACTCCTTAGTCTTCTGTACAATTTGCTTAAGGTTATGTATGTGGTCTATGGTGCTAAAGCATTTTTGGAAACCAGCTTATTCGGGAGGCTGGAAGTCGTCAAGTCTGCGTGCGAGACGATTCGTAATGACTCTCGAAAACAGCAGGTAGACGCAGCTCAGAAGGGAAATCGGTCTTTAGTTCTTCAAGAGAGCGTTGTTTCCTTTTTTGAAGAACAAGACCACCGCTTTTTTGCTCCACGCTTCCAGTGTAGTACCACCATGGAGGACGGAGTTAAAGAGCTTCTGAAAGACTTCAAGAACCGATTTTCCATCTACTTTTAGAAGCTTCGCTGTAATTCCATCTTCGCCTCAGGACTTGCCCTTTTTAAGGTGCTGAAGAGCCATTCTAATCTCGCTCAAGTTGACGTCCGAAATATCATCGGAATAGTATCGGATAAGACTTACTTTTGGAGCGTTACTCACACTTGATACTCACGCTCCAACGATGATGTGTACAACTGCCCAATCTCTCAATCTCACTCAAAATCTCAGGTATCCCGGAAACTATACTCCCACATTCGGTCTTCAGCTTCGACAGTTGGCTCTTTCTGTCCGACAGACCTCTGGCAAAGATTTTGGAGCCCTGATTCCGCTCTATCGCTTCTTCAATACGAGCTGTATTGAAGTTGCGTAAGTCCTGCCGCATGCATTTGGAGATCTGCTGGTTTAGTTGCTGCTGAAGACTGCAGCTTTATTTCCCGTCTAACAGCTATGAGATTAAACATGTGATCGGAGAGTTTTTGTGTTCTTCTGCGGCGGGTCTTGCAGAACTTAGCTGCGACTACATGGACATTTTCCACGAGCTAGTCATTTATATCGTTCACTGCATTGCAATATTCTAGGTCCTGAAAACGATTTGGTAACACGAGTTGAAAGTTTACGGGACATTGGATTAAAGCACGAGGAGGCGGAGCGTTGACTGCATTAGACGTGACCTCTCCAACTTAATGATTAGGTTCAGTGTGACTTTTACCATTCGGTGATCGTTGCTGGTTTTCACCCTCGCGATCACTGAGTCATCACTGAACAGTTGCCGTATAGTCAACATAATGAAGTTAATCTCATTTTTTGTCGAACCGTCGGGGCTCAATTAGGTGCCCTTGCTGTGGCGCCGCTTCTGAAAGAAAGAGTTCATCATAAAGACTTCCTTTTTCTCCATGAAATCGGACAGCTGGGTTCCGTTGAGCCTCTTGGGTTCCGTTGCCCTATTCAAAATTTCCCTGACTTCAGCTTACAGTTCTCTCTTGTGCCTAGTTCTGCGTTCAAATGTCCCATTAACACCGTATAGTGGGTTTTGGGAGAATATCATAAATGTCTTACACCTCTTTCTCATCGGAATGTACCGAGGTTGGTGTGTAAACCTATATGACCTTCAACGAATACCGTTTGGCATTTTGGGTATAAGGTTAGTTAGTACGTTACGTTGTTGTATTTACGTTGGGTATAACCTTCATTGATACACTCCCAATCTTTACAACGTTGTTAATGGGAAACTTGTGGACAATAAATCCGAGGTAGATGTAGTAAAAGAGGTGTCCTGGGGACAGATGGTCGCCCATCCGGTGATAGAACAAGTTGCTGGATTCGAGGATTACCGTGTCCTCCCCCTCTCTTCGAACCTTGAATAATCCTATGATATTCCAGCGCACTTGTCTATCTCTTCTTCCAGCTCCAGAATCTTCTCGTCAGTACTCAGGGCCGTACGTTATGTTGCCAGGTCGAGTCGTCTTACGTGGCAACCGAACCTGCACCGTAGATTCTTAGCACCTCCTGCCCCACCGTTACCATGGTCGCCGCCGTAGCTAGGAATAGCGGGGCCGCCGGCGACTGGGAGACATCTCTTCGTAAATCTCACCATAGGGGGTATATTGCCATAATTGCCGCACTTGGCGAGCGGGTTGGCAACCAGTCCATCTTCTGCCTCAGTGTCCTTTGTCGCCACTTACGACACCCACGACAAGATTTGGGGTAGTGGGTATTCTTGCTCGCCAATGCTCGGGAATATCTTTTCTCACTAAAC